AGTAGTAGTAGTAGTATTAGTAGTAGTAGTAGTAGTAGTAGTAGTAGTAGTAACAGTAGTAGTAGTAGCAATGGTGGTAGCAATAGTAGTATTAGTAGTAGTAGTAGTCGTAGTAGTAGAAATAGTAGTAGCGGAAGTATCGGTAGTAGCACCCCAGAATTCATAGTCTCAGAACTTGAATCAGAAAAAAACCCAACATGTCTATTAAAATCTTGAGCTTTACAGACCCTGGCCGAACAATAAAGTTTTCTTAAGCATCGCCTAAGGTGTACTAGTAGTGGTAGCAGCAGTAGCAGTAGTAGTAGTAGTAGTAGTAGTAGTAGTGGTGGTGGTAGTAGTAGTAGTAGTAGTAGTAGTAGTAGTAGTAGTAGTAGTAGTAGTAGTAGTAGTAGTAGTAGTAGTAGTAGCACTGGACACAGCAGCAGCAACAGTAGCAGTAGCAACAGCAACAACAAGAAAATACGATACCCGTGCCACACACTCGCGGCTTGGGCAAATTGGAAATTGTGAACGTATCATATAACCTGACCACACGATCGTGACTGCGGGACAGCTGAAGTGGTGAGAATCCCGATGTCTTGCCACATGTTCGCGGCAATGTTGCTACCCAGCACAAGAAAGTAACAAGCTCGACTCGCACCCTTCCCCCGCGATGATGACGTTCGGCCTCGCCGCCCCTCACCCACGCTTGTGAAAGTAGTGGTCGTACTCGTAGTAGTGGTAATAGTGGTAGAACTAATCGTAGCAGTGGTAGTCGTAGTTGTAGTACAAGTAAATCGTACTCGTAATGGTAATTGTACAAATATAGTAAAGATGGTGTCTTTAGTAATGGCAGCCGTGAAACCATTACAAGTACTAATGCTAAAGGTCGCGGTCGTGGTATTAGTGGTACTGAAGGTAGTAGTAGTGGCGGTAATCGTAATAATAATTGTAGTAGAAATAGTAATACAATAATAGTAGCCGTAATAATAGTAGTAGTTGCAGTCGTAATAGTAGTAGTCGCAGTAGTAGTAGTAGTAGTAGTAGTAGTAGTAGTAATCGTAGTAATCGTAGTAGCCGTAGTGTTGGTAGTAGCAGTGCTAGTATCAGTAGTAGTAATAGTAGTAGTAGTAGTAGTAGTAGTAGTAGTAGTAGCAGTAATAGTAGTAGTAGTAGTAGTAGTAGTAGTAGTAGTAGTAGTAGTAGTAGTAGTAGTAGTAGTAGTCGTAGTCGTAGTAGTAGTAGTAGTAGTGGTAGTAGCAACAGCAGCAGCAGCAACAGTAGCGGAAGTAGCAACAACAACAACAACAAAATAGACGATAGCCTTGCCACACGCTGGCGACTTGGACAAATTGGGAATTGTTAACATATCATAGAACCTTGCCACACGATCGTGACTGGGGAAAGCTGAAGTGGTGAGAATCCCGATGCCTTGCCACACGTTCGCGATAATGTTGCTATTCAGCATAAGAAGGGAACTAATTCGACTCGCATCCTTCCCCCCGCGATGATGACGTTCGGCCTCGCCGCCCTTCACCCACGCTTGCAGAAGTGGTGGTAGTACTCGCAGTAGTGGGAAAAGTGGTAGAAGTAATCGTAGTGGTGCTAGTAGTAGTGGTAGTAGTGGTAATTCGTAGCAGTAAGTGCATTAGTACAAATATAGTAGTGGTGGTGTCTATAGTAGTGGTAATCGTGAAACCATTACAAGTACTAATGCTAGTGGTAGCTGTCGTACTATTCTTGGTAATGATGGTAGTAGTAGTGGCGGTAATGGTAAGAGTAGTATTCATAGTCGTAGCAGTAATAGTATTAGTAGTAGTAGTAGTAGTAGTAGTAGTAGTAGTAGTAGTAGTAGTAGTAGTAGTAGTAGTAGTAGTAATAGTAGTAATAGATCAGCAGCAGCAACAGTAGCGGTAGCAGCAACAACAGGAAAGACTATACGATAGCATAGCCTTGCCAAACGCTCGCGACTTGGGCAAATAGGAAATTGTGAACATATCATATGTCTTTGCCACTCGATCGTGACTGGGGGAAGCTGAAGTGATAAGATTCCCGATGCTCTGCTACACGTTCGCGATAATGTTGCTACCCACCATAAGAAAGTAAGAAGTTCGACTCGCAACCTTCCCCCGCGATGATGACGTTCGGCCTCGCCACCCCTCACCCACGACCAACTCTGTATTGGCCGGGGAGCATCAACTCTCAAGGGTGAACGGGCCGGGGGGATGATTTATCATCCACGGTGTTCGGTTGTAGAAGAAGGCGCGTGCGATTGTGGGCGGGAGGTGAACGCGCGGGAAACATATCTGTTTTCGGTTGCTGCGCGAGCCGCGCATACGGGCCCGGGGGGGGGATTCTTGTGGGGATGTTCCTGACGAGAACGCCATCTTGGAACACGCCCTGCGCGCCCAGTGCGTCCCAGGAAATGGCCCCCGGGGGCACGCCGGGGGCCCGCGGGGCGATTTCTGCGAGGATGTCTCCAGCGACAGCGCCGCACTGGGACACGCCCGGCGCGTCCAGGTGCGTCCCCGGACCTGCTCCCTGCGGGCGCGCTGGAGGACCGCGGGGAGATGTCTGCAAAGACGTCTCGAAATAGGGCGACACGCTGGGCCGTGCCGCCGCGCCCGGCGCATCCCCGGAAAGGGTCCATGGGGGCGCGCGCGCTGGGGCCCCTGAGAGAGGGCTTTTGCGAAGACGTCTCCGGCGAGGGCGCCGGATTGGGACACGCCCAGCGCGCAGGGCGCGCCCGAAGTATTCCCAGACATCCCTTCTTGGGGCGCGGCGCGCCGGGGACCCGTGGGGCGAATCTTGCGAGGATGTCTCCAGCGAGGGCGCCGGATTGGGACACGCCCAGCGCATCTCCAGAAATGGTCCCTGGGGCCGAGTCCTTCAAACGACGGTCCCGGCGGGGCCCAAACAAAGCCCTGCACATGCCAAGAACGGTGAAAAACTTCCGTGCGGAATTGTTTCAACACGTGGCTGGTCTGGGGCGTCTTGGTTTACGAGTCCCCGGTCAGTGTGACACTCGAGGCCTCTCAAATGGGACCCGGATAAATGGGGTCGGAGAATCCCGACGCATCGCCGATGCATCGGCGAATTCGCCGTGGAGGGAAAACGGCCCCAAATCGAGCCGCACCGCCGATGCATCGGCGATGCGGCGCGAACCTGCGACTACGTCCACTCGGACCGCAATCGGGAATCATGGATTTCCCCCCCAAAATAAACCCTTCGGAAAAACACTGGACCGCCGCGAAAACGCGTAGCTGTGCGACCGCGTAACCGCGGGATCGAGCCCAGGAATCCAGACAGCGAGAGCAGTAATCTGAGCACTCGGTGGCAACTCATGGGAGCCTCCCATACCATCTTGTCGGCTCCTGCGAATCGAAGCAAATCGACGCTAGTCGACGCGAATCGACCGACGCCAATCGACGGTTGCCGACGCTCGGCGCAATCTCATCGACTCCCAAACGATACATCCCCAGGACGAAAGTTTCTTCCTCCTCGGCCCAGAACGACGGCTTGAATTCTTAGCAGACGCGTGTGAGATAACCGCCGCGAGGTTGAATCAAGTTCGCGCGGATCCAATTTTGGGTATTGGTTCCTGTCTCGGTGGATTCGATTTCCGCCCGCGCGGATCCGATTTCGGATGTTCTGGACCCGCGCCCCGTCCTCTCAACGGCGGATCCGATGTGCACCCCGCTTAAAGCTTATATTGGTAAATTTCAGCGGGGAGCTGGACGAAATCGGATCCGAGGACCCCGGAGCCTGGCCGTGTTAAGGTTATACGGGGGACGGAGGTTCGCCCATTTACTTTGCAAAATGGGCCCTGCGCTGTCTCCGGCACTCCCATCAACTTTCCGCGAGCGCGGGCCCCACTCAACATGAACACAGGGCAATTATTAATACATAGGTTTATATATATATACACATGAATTCATCGTGTTTTTTTTAATACTAAATCCATGCATGTTTAATACATGATCCGCACTCGGAGCATGTACTAAAAACGGCAATGTACATCTCAGCTCGTCCAGACACCGTCCGTTCGGCGGCGCCGATGTCACCTCGCGAACTCCTCATGATCATTTTCACCTCAAGAAGAAACCTTTCGTCTTGCGCAGGTCATCGACGCTAGAGATGGAATTATCGGGGGCGGCCAAGATGGGGATGTTCAAGAGAGTGGGGCGCAAATCATGGCCAGCGGCACGTGCGCTGCCCAGGGGGGGGCCAGGACCGCATTGAAACAAGAAGAGGCGCCGCGAAATCAGGGGAAAGATCATGGCCCCCGCCATGATATCCACCCCCCTAGTCATCACCCCCCTCTCTGCCGTCCCCGAGATTAGGAGGGTATACGGTACACAACGCTCCCATGATTTTCGGCGGTGGACCAACCTCCCTTCAGCAAACCTCCCTTTAGTGAGGACGGCCCAAGACCGAAACCGACGGACCCTGGACCCGCAACAATGACGCCCTGACGCCCTCTCGCGAACCGAAAACTGCCAATTTTGAGCAGGGACCGACCGTCCCGGCATTCCTATAGTCCTACCACGAAATGTTCTTAGAACCCACAAGTGTTCTAAGAACGAAAACAATGTGCTGAGAACGAAAACCCGATGGGAGAAGACAAGACAGACTCCGCCAGAAATGTTCTAGGAACATCTCGTGGAGACCACAAAAAGGTTCTCAGAACATTGCCTGGTAGGGCCATAGGCGAGCAGGGACGCCTCGCCACTGCTCGAGTAGAAGAACAAAAGTGGCATAAACATAAAAACTCTGAGGTCCGCGCGGATTTCTCGGATCGGCACTGGACCCCTCTCCCTGGCGCGCGGAGCGCGCCAGGGGCGGCGCCAGAAGCGCCGCCGGGGGGCCCCAGCGCCGATCCGAAAAATCCGCGCGGACCTCCGAGTTGTTATGTCTATGCCACTTTTTCTTCCCCTGTCGAGTGTCAGGGCAAGCGGCCTCTCGACCTCCGAGCTCTGCTGCCGGCTGGGCTCGCGGGCCGCCCGTGGCCGCCGCGCGGCCTCCTGGCCCCTGGGCGGTGGGCGAGCGCCGCGGCCGCCGCCGCCGCGGCCAGCACCGCGCGGGCCGGGTCGCCGCCTCCCCGGGGGGGCCGGGGGGGCGGTTGAGCAGGGACCGACCGTCCCGGCATTCCTGTAGTCCTACCACGAGCTCGAGATGTCTTTAGAGCCGAAGAATGTTCTGATAACAAAAACACTGCTCTTAGAACATAAACCAGATGTGGTAAAACAAGACAGACTCCGCCAGAAATGTTCTGAGAACATTTCGTGGAAACCACAGAAGGTTCTTAGAACATTGTCTGGTAGGGCTATCGGCACGCCACTGCTTGAGGCGGGGGGCGAGCGAGAACCCAGCTATCGAACGCATTGAAAAAACACGACGGAGGTTTTTCACTATTTTCGGCCTCTATGGGCCCTCGCCGGGCCCCAGGACCGTCAAAAAACGACTCAGAGTGAAAAACCGGTCCTGGGGAAGGGGTCGAGACTTCCGGGGACCCCGTATTGAAAAAACCACGACATCGGATCTATGGTGAAGAGCGGGCGGTTCACGCACGTGGCCTGCGAGGCGGGGAGCTATCCACATCCGCCGCCCGGGAGCCGTCCTGGTGACCCAGCGGGCGGCGGATGTGGATGTATGTTGTTTTTGTTCTACGACAGACTCTCACGGCACACTAACACAAGACATCAAATCTATATGTACGCACCTGTGCGAAACATCTTAAGCCGGCCAGGCCGGCTGAAGATTTGGCTCTGTGTTGAAGTCTTGGAATAGCTGGGCGGTGCGACTATTCACGATGCAGCCTGGCAGCCGGTGGAAGGCTCGACGCATACAGAAGATAGACCTCGGCGGGCGGTGGATATATGGATACACCTTGGCCCCCCGGGGGCCCGAACACATCCACGTCCCCCGCCCGCCGAGGTCTCCGAACATGGACCCTCCTGGCGGTGGGCATGCACAACCTCCCGCCCCGGACGGTCGGCGGCGGGCCCGGGGGGGGGGGGGCAGGCCTCGGAACACCCAACAGAGCACCGCCCGCACGCACGCTGCAGTCGACCCGCAGCAAGAACAAGGGCTCCCGACCTCGCGCTCCGCGCGCCGCGCTGCGAACTTCGCGCTCTCGCGCCGCCCCCCAGGGGAGAAGAGGAGGACGAGGAGGAATCGGAGCCGAACCGCGAACCGCGAAGCGCGAACAACCTCGCGCCCTCGAGGGCGCCCCTGACAAGCGGGGGGCGGGCGCCGCCTGGCGCGGCCTGCGTCGAGAGGGCGGCCCACGCCTCGGCCAGTGGGCCGCTTCGCCGGCGCCGCGCCCGGAGCGCGCGCGGGGCGCCCGGAGCGCGCCCCGGGTGCAGCACGTGGTCGGCGGCAGAGAGGGCGGGCCCGCTCAGAGGCTCAGTGAGGCCCCCGGCCTTCGGAGGCGTGCTCTAAGCCTTCCCCGAACACAAGGGGGAGCCTCTCAGCAGGGCCGAGGGGCGTCTGAGAAGTCCCGCCGCCTTCTGAGGGAAGCACTCTCCCGGTCGCTTCCCCCCCCCATTCGTTCGCCGTCGACATGGTCTTGAGGGATGGGGTCCCGAGGACAGGAAGGGGGCCAAGGTTGGATGGACATTGCTTGAAGCACCTCGTGCTCAGAGCCCCATGCCTCAGAACCCTGTCCATCTTTGAACCACCCGGGCGGCGGCGAGCACGGTGAGGAGCGGCGGCTGATGCTCACGCTCGGGGGAGGCGAGGCTCGGTGGCTCGAGGGGTTTAGTTCGGGCGTGCCCTTTGGGGGCCACGATTTCAGCAGGGACCGACCGTCCCAGCATTTCTGTAGGCCTACCACGACATGTTCTTAGAACCAAAAAAATCGAACAGCAAGAACAATGTTCTTAGAATATAAACCCGATGTGTGAAAGCAAGACGGTTTCGGCCAGACACGTTCTTGAAACCTTGCGTGCATACCACAGAAAGGTTCTTGGAACATCCTTTGATGGGCCTGTACGCGAGCCAGGATGCGTCGCCACTGCTTGAACGATAAGGGCGTTTTGGGGTGACCCACAAAGAGGTCCAGCTGAAAGGGGGTGGTGCAATAGATTGGGGGCAATTGTATTGCAAATGTATTGCGCCGGAGAATTGCATTGCATTGAATTGCAAGTAATGTACTGCGCCCCGGAGTGTATGGCACGCCGCAGATGCGTTGCAACCCCACAAATATATTGCACCGCATTTATTGCACCACGCCCTTGTCGTAGGTCGGGCATGTCCCCCCACCGGCCGAACTTCGACAAAAAATTCAAGAAATACTCAAACAAACCCCAAACAAATGCTCAAAGACAGTCGAAAAGTCGCCCCCAGCTACTATTTTTGACTGTTCCTCCTGTGGAGGGACAGGCCCGACTTAATCCTGGTCGATGGACCCCCCCTTCGGGTCAACCGGAAGGCGGGGGGGGGGGGCACCCCGCTCACGAGACGCCTTCTGCCCGGCACTGCGGCGGGGGGGGGGGTCTGGCCGTGGCGAGGGGAGGCCTCGGCGAGGCCCAAGACAAAACGACGAGAAACACACACACACACACACATTCACACACACACACACACATCGGAGGCGAGGGAATGCGATCGCAGTGTTGCTAGAATGAGGTCGGGCATGTCCTCCTACATGGGAATCTTGGACGAAGAATGCAAGTAGTCAAAACATATTTCAAAATGGTTAAACAGAATCGTCCCCATACGATTTGTTTAACTATTTTTGAATATTCCTCCTGTGCAGGGACAGACCCGACTTAATGCTACAAATGCCCCTGGCACAAGGTGCCCCCAGCGTGTTGTTCCGTATTGGGCCCCCTGGGGCCCCCTGGGACTCGAGAGGGGGTAATCTGGAGGCCGTGGGGGCCTCCTTGGGGATCCTGGGGGCACCTTGGGCCCGGGGGCAATTCTAGCAACACCCGATGAGATCGCGGTGACACAGATTTTGAGCAGGGACCGACCGTCCCAGCATTCCTAGTCATACCACAAAATATTCTTAAAACCCAAAAAGCGTTCTAAGAACAAGAACAATGTTCTTAGAACATAAACCCGATGTGTTAAAACAAGACAGCCCCAGCCGGAAATGTTCTAAGAACATTTCGTGGGAGCCACAAGAGGATCTTAGAACATTGCTTGGTGGGGCTATAGGCGAGCAAGGAACGCTTCGCCACTGCTTGAAGATTGCCCCCACCGCTGGAGATCGGCTTCGGCCTCGGCTCGTTCCGCGCGCGCGGGCGCGGCGAAGCTGCGCGGGCGGGCCACGGGAATGAGCCCTCCCGTGGCGAGGGCGCCGCCGCGCTCCGGCTGTGGCCTGGGATGTGTCCAGCGGGCTTCCCGTCGGTGCCCGGCCAGGGCCCCGCAGCAGATCGATAGCGAGATCGATCAAGATATCGATCTGATGGTAAGATCGATTCGATTGTGAGATCGATCGTGAGATCCATGGTGAGATCGATCGTGAGATCGGTAGGGAAGGGGATAGGGGAACCGATTGTGAGTTCGAAAAACGAAATCGGTTGGGACATCAATACTGGGAGCGATAGTGGGACCGATCGAATACCATCGATCGTGAAATCGATCATAAAAATCGATAAAGTGACCAATCGTGATCTCGATGCAAATATCGGAAGAAATGAATCCGATGTGAGGCGATCCCCCCTGCTGGGGCTTCCTCGGTGCACGCTATCCTGAAGGAGAGCCCCGTGGAGGAGGAGACGCGAATGGAGGAGGAACAGCAGGAGCAGCAGGAGGAGCGGGAGGAGCAGGAGGATGAGGAGGGGGAAAAGGAGGAGGAGGAGGAGGAGGAGGAGGAGGAGGAGGAGGGAGGGGGAGGGGGAGGAGGGGGGAGGAGGAGGAGGAGGAGGGAGGAGGAGGAGGAGGAGGAGGAGGAGGAGGAGGAGGAGGAGGGAGGAGGAGGAGGATGAGGAGGAGGAGAAGGAGGAGGGGGAGGAGGGGGAGGAGGGGGAGGAGGGGGAGGAGGAGGAGGGGGGAGGAGGGGGAGGAGGGGGAGGAGGAGGAGAAGGAGTTGGAGGAGGAGGAGGGAGGAGGGAGGGAGGAGGAGGAGGAGGAGGAGGAGGAGGAGGAGAGGGAGGAGAAGGAGGCAAGGGCCAGCGGCGCCACATCGCACGCCATCTCCACAGCGCCCACCGTCACACGCCGACCCTTTCCCCCCTCGCGGCGCCTCGCCGGCCCATGCCGGCGCGGCTGCTGCTGCTGCTGGCCGCCGCCACGCTGGCCGCGCCCCGCAGCGCCGCGGGGGCGCCGGCTGCCAAGGCCAGGTGAGCGGGCCTGCCCCTCCTCCTCGCCTTAGGTCGGGCGTCCTCCTACAGGGGGATCTGGGGCGAAAAATGCAAATACTTTCTAACAAAAATCAAAAAAGTCGAAACAATAGTCGAAACATCGTCCCCATCATAATTCTACTATTTTTGAATATTCGTCCTGTAGAGGACATGCCTGGCTTAACCCTCCTCCTCACCACCCCATCCCCCTCGTTGCGCCTCTCTCCTCGTGACACGCCTGCTCTTGCCAGTCCCTCTCCTCAACGTCCTCGTGCCCCTCCTCGTGCTGATACTCCCTGTCTTGCTGCTGTTTCGTCCTCGTCCTCCTCCCCCATCCCCATCTCCGCCAGCATCAACAATAGTTATTCAGGCCCGTTCGCTCGACCCTGGTCCTTTCCGTCTTTGGATGCACCACCCTGCGGCCGGCTGGACCCGAGCGGGTGGTCGGGCCGAGTCGGGCGCCCTCGAAGTCGGGCGGTCGGCGGTCGGGTCAGGGCGGGCCCTTCCTCGGGCGTGCGGATCGGGTCGTGCCGGGCGGACCCTGACGGGTGGCCCTCACGGGAGGGTCGGGCGGGCGGATCCAGGCAAACGAGCGAGCAGGCCCCGACGAGCCAATGGGGCGGGCGGACCCTGTCGCACGGCTCGGAGAGGCGATAAGCATTGAACGGGGACCGACCGTCCCGGCATTCCTATAGGCCTACTAAGACAGTTGCTTAACACCAAACAAAGATCTAAGAACAGAAACACGATTCCAAGAACAAAGATCCGATGTGTTGAAACAGGCAGTCCCAGCCAGAACATGTT